TCATAGAAAAGAGGCTAACGAATCCAAATAAGTATTCAAAATTAAAATTTGACTACTAGAAGTATGTGTATTTTTCGCCAGCTTATTGGTCTAAATGCATGAAAAATCCAATCGTTTAGAGCCGCCTTAATGAATTATACAAATCAAATATATACAAATCTTAACGCGTCAACGAGGAGAGTAATTTTTTATTATTCATAAATTGACATTTTGGTTGGATTAATTTTAACAAAATTATAGATATTTATTCATGGCTCATCCACCTTTGACACCTAATTGTTAATCGTATAATCTAATACAATACAATTTGTTTTTACACCTATAGGTATGTATAATAGTAATCTAGACAATGTATACATAGTACGTAAAATATAAAAAGGATAATCTGTTTCGTTTGTCGTTATAAATTGAAATTAAAATGGAATCAAAATTATTTTATCAGATTTCGCTGGTTTACAATCGCACATTAGAATTCACTCGAAGGGAAGCTAGAATGTTTATTGGTAATAAATAATAATAACCAAAGACCATTTTAATGATTTTTAAGTACACTATAGTAGGCGAAAATATGACTATATATTCCGAGTAAAAAAACATTGAACGTCAAAGAATTTGCAAGAAATAAAGCTTAAAATATTATCATCTCGAGTTTAATGATGAGTTAACAAATATTGATACTTATTTATTCTTAAAAATTGCTTTCAATACATTGTGTAACAACTTATAGCAACTTGACGATAAGTAAAAATAATTTGTACAAACGTTCGATGTTTTAATTAAGTTAGAGATTTTTACTAACGGTCAATGTGGTGTTCTTGGATTTATTTTGGCAATTTGACATCATATTTTACTGTTGGATTGTTTGTAGAATTGAAAAATATACCTGAAGGATCAAAAAAGATTTATGATTTATCAATAAATAACCCAATGTTGTATTTGTCCTTTGGCTTAATAAATTAATTACGAGTATAAAGTATCGAGGTTTTACATTTTTAAATAGTGTTAAATTATGTTAGTGATGAAAGCTCGACCAATCATTGACCAAAGTAGATTACAACATATTTTTCAAGGTGCAAATATTTGCGATTTATTTTTTCTAGTTTTGACCTCAAAGGACGATATTTATTTTGTGAATATTGGGTAGTAAAAAGAGAAAAAAAAGTTGATACCAACAGATGGATGGTTATTAAATTATTGGCTTATGATCAAAACTCGTTAATTCACTGAATAAAACTGTTAATAGTCATATTGATGTAATTTGTGTGCCAAGGTCATTGAACCGGTTTAAAAATAACCATACAAATGGTACCTAATAACTTATCCAGTCTCATACCGAAAACGTACTTTGAAATTTACTTTATTATTTTATGTGTAAAGTTATCGTCAAATTGATTTTTTTATCACATCTAAAAATGCAAAAACATGATTCAGATCATTTATTTTCATAACATTGGAATTTTTATGTGATGTATAATTTATCATCAATCATCTTCATAGTACAATTAGGCATATAGCTGGTAGCATATTATATATATATATATAAGATTACATATTTGCAATTGTTTTAATATTTATTGATGCTTTTGAAATATTAGAATCATTATTGACATATTTATTTACCTACCATCTATGTAGTCAGTCTTTAATCTTTATTTAGGTATTTAATTGTTGAGTGTATTCCTTTATTAATAGTGTAACCTTTGAACGACTTGATTAAGGTAAAAGTTATATCAACAGATTCCTTGAGTATCTTTGAGTGTAGTTATAGGTACTTTATAGCGTATTTTTCTTAAGTAGGTATCTCAAGGGTACCTCAAACATGAATTTTATTTTGGTTCACACAAATCGAATATATTTTTTTGTTTATTTGAACAATTGCCATTGGTTACTTAATTGTATTATTATGATTAGTAGAAATATTGCATAATATAAATTTTTTGGTCGCAATTTTTTACACATTACCATTGGTTATAAATTTATAATATATTATAATAAAATATTTATAAATTGAAATTAAAATTAAACGCTGAAAGTTTAATATCCGAAGCCGGTTGGATTTTCTTTCCACCGCGGTGATGAAAGTTTACAAATACTTGATGTTTCTCTATCGAAAAATGACTAATAACGAAATACAAAAAAGAGAAAATTAAGTACCTAGCCGCTATGCTGTACAGTTGTAGGCGTCAAGACGTCAAGTGCATTTCGTCATTAGGTAATAGTGACTGTAAATGTATGTGTACAATTTTATCATTGCGTCCCAAAAATGATTCTGAGCGAAGACGGCCAGCCTTTCAAAATACAAAAAGCGATACAAAAGGACACCTGCTATCCGCAACCAGCAGACGAGATCTCGCAATCTATACTCTGTTCCACATAAGAGTGAACCGCTTTCGCTCACGCAGACTGACCCGCAGAACAGTACCTGACCTCCCCCCCCCATTCGAAGGCTATGCGTTCTGTGATTGGCGGACAGTCATCGCCGACCGTCGGGCGCCCGTGTTAAGACTCTCACCGATGTCCGGATTGTGGTGGGAATGCGCTGAAAAAACGTGTTTTGGTCAGCCGAGTGGTTTACTCTTATGTGGAACAGAGTATATTCTAAGTATAACTTTGACTGTGTTATGTCAGGCCGTGATGTAAGTCACATGTGGTATAATAAATATTAATATTTCGTATTTTTAGTATTTCGACAAAAACATTTGTACATAAATAAATACATTTTTTAATTGTCACATCCGGCAATTCCGTATTCATATTTCCCAAGGAGAAACGCATCGTGTGGCTCGAGCATAATAGTACAACGGCCACTCTCGTCGACGCTTCGTTATTGAAAATTGAATTATTATAATGAGTGTGTCTTGGCGATGCAGTTTTGAGCAATCTGGTTACCAGTTTAGCTAACTAGGTATTAGGTTGTTCGCTCAAACTAGTAAACGACTTGCTCAAAACTGTATCTCCAAAACTCGAAAAATACTGTCGGTACTACAGAAACCCACTGTAAGCCTCAACTCACTTTCCACATCACTGGCCACAAATCAGAGACACCTGTCCTGGCTGTCCTATTGTGGTAGGTACGCTCTCGAGGGTGATATTAGATCACAGCGAATCTTAACCTAAACGAAGGACAAGCAGAAACGAACCTTTGACTGACTGCCACGTCGTTTAATGTGTATCGTGTTGTGCGTGGGCGTGGTAACTATATCATTACAACTGGTAACCACAAACCGCGTTGGTTTAAAAGTTGAGCTGTAGTAAATTCTTTGTATACTCTGTTGCAACTTGGTTAGCCATTACACGGTACCTACAAAAAAAATGTCCAATCGGAATACAATTTGACTGACTTAATACTTTAGATCATAATATTATACTATGGAATATGGAGGGAGCCACAGCGCATTAAATCAATACAAAAAAATGATGCGTTAGGCGTTCGATACGCGTATGCGGGACACGTATTTATCATCAAATCATCATAATATTATTATATCTTGAATATAATATTACATTGAAAAACATAGTACCTAGTATTAATAATAATAATAATAATAATAATGTATACCGTTATAGCATAAAAAAAAAGTTTGAGGCACTCGGGTATCATGTAATTATAATTATTTATTTTTGTATGATATTAATTCAAGTTACACTTTTTGAGCGCGACGACCGAAAAGAAAATTAGTTTGTTTGTTGGTACCTAATGGTAAATAAACACCTTACTTAAATATTTTATTTGAGACTTATTTATTCTTTGACAACTGGTTAGACTGTAAATAACAAAAATAATAATAACATCTTACGGTCACTCTTTTACGAAAATATTTTTTTCAGTCACCACGCCGGGCCCGCGATAAAAGCTATGCGCAATAGTTTAATAATTACCAGAATAACATAAGTATTAATCACGAACTATAAGATAGTAAGACATAGAATAATTCTGTTATAGTAACCTATGGATAACTATGCGAGGGGTTGCATAGCGAGTGCGCACATCGATCACCTATAATTTGGAGACTCGTCGCAAATATCGGCAACAAAATAATAACGCTGTGGCTACATCCATAGGCTATTGAATTGGGTGTATAGGGCTTTTTTTAGTTCATTAATAAGGTAGCGCCGTTTATTAGCTAGGCTGCCCCTGCCGACGAAGTCTAGTCACGCCTATGTCCATAGTATAATATGATCTAAGCTAAATGCTGACACAATACCAACTGACGGTGAAAAAATTAAAGCGGTTACCCACTTGTGAGTAGGCATAACATTATAACCCTATCACTTCCGGCCTGCGTCACTGCACGTTTTCCGAGGAAGGCGCGTCATGGAGGCAATAAACGCACATCAGTGACGTAAGATATCTCTCTACCTATATGCATTATATCATTGCTCTGCTATTATGCCTATAAACTATAAGCGTGACTTACAATTTAAATGTATTGTAGTTTGGCGCGTAATGTAGATGTTATTTAGGGCTTATGGTAAAGGTTTGTCAAATCCAAATAAGACCTTGATGAAAATATAATCACGTGATCGGCAACTCGTTATAAATGCAGTATTTAAAACATTATGATTTTCCTTTAAACATATTCTTTAAACTTGAAAGTCTGGTTAAAAATGCTGAAAATCAGATCTTGCAGAATAAATGAATAGTTTTGCATAACAACGGTCCAAAAAAAAAACAACCTCGTATTATTTATACTCGCCACTCGGAGACCAGAAACGTAAATTATAGGGGATTTCTGGAGGCGACCTTCCTGGCTGACACCATAGGCGGAGCTTGATAAATTTAGTTGGGGGGGCTCAAGCCCCGATTATTTTAATTATATATTTTAACCTATGTAGTTTGAAATAATCTTAATATATCTTAATACAAATATGAACAAATTTCAAATAGACTAAAATATATAAATGTATTGCATGCTATATTACTATTAAAATTTACAATATTAATACAAATACAGAAAAAAATTTAAAAATTGATCATTATAATTGATTATTTAACACTGTCAAAGTGTTAACTGAATTCTTCTTGAACCACATTTGACAAATTCTTCAAGAATCTGTTTTGATTCAATTGATGTCTTGACTAATTCATTTTCTATGTGTATTATGGCCAAATTACTGAATCGATTTTGAATCATAGAAGTCCTTAACCAATTTTTAATCCTTCTCATTGCTGAGAAGGACCGCTCACATGAAGCTGAGCTTACAGGTATACTTAGTGCAACTTGTAACAAATTGTGCAAATTAGGATACAATTCTAATGTAACGGTTGATAGTAAATCTTGAATAGTCCAATTTTTGATTTGAGAATTTAAATAATTATTGACAATCATCATTTCAGCTTTTAAAACATCCATTTTTATTTTTAAGTTATGACTATAATATTCAATGAATTCTAATGAACCATCAAAATCAAGAATAAAGAAGTTATCAATTGATTTTGCCAATTTTTGGCTTTCATCAGAAAACCTAGTTTTCATTCTATTAGTTATATTATCAATGATTGTGTTATAAACATTGGCTTTCCAATATTTTTCACCTGTTAAATTGTCCTCACGAGATCCAATTGTTGAAGTCACTAGAGAATTGTTCAAACGTTGATTATCAACTGGTTTCCTTTTTTTCGACGACTCTTCATTATTCAAACAAATTCCAAATTTTTTTGAAAAATTAGTAATATCATCCCACAATAGTTTAAAACTTTTATCAGACCTTTTGTCTTGTAATGTTGATATTACACCATTAATTGCAGAAGTTGCTTGGCCCAATGTCATATTTTTTTTTTGTAAAGTTTGACTTAATAAGTCGATAGTTAATAAAATGTCATGAAATACAAATAAATTAAAAATAAATTGTGCTTTTTTAATTCCTTTTAAAAGACCAACAGCTTCAATAGCATATTTATTTTTGTTATTATTAATTTCTTCTTCTAATGTATTTATTATGGATTCGTAATTCATTTTAACGTTATTGCAATTTTTGTACCTACATGCCCATCTAGTAGTACTTAGCTGTGTAAGTTTAAGTGGTTTTAACCCCAATTTTTTTTGCATCAAAATAAATGTGCTGTGGTTGAATGGTTGAGAAAAGTGAATATAAAGTGATTCTAATAAATTAAAAAAAGTTACTGAACTTCTTATATTTTTACATGTGTCAGTGACCACCAAGGCTAGCTTATGTGCTGCACAGTGAAAGTATACAGCAGTTGGATACTTTTCTCTAATCTTAGTCTGTAGTCCTCCAACTGCGCCTGACATCACACTAGCACCGTCATATGTTTGTGCAACAATGGGTATGTCAGCTATTTCTAATTGTTTTAGTTCATTTATAATAATATTTTTTAAACTTTCTGCATCCCTTGACTGAGAGCAATCAATAAATTTTATAAAACGTTCACATATTTCAAATCCATTACAATATCTCACACACAAACTCAATTGTTCTTCTTTAAATGAACGAGCTTCATCACACATTAATGAATACTTTCCACATTTTCTAATTTCATTTGTTATGACTTTTATAGTTGAATTGGATACAATATTAAGAATTTCATTTTGGATATCATGGCTAGTATATGATAAATATGCATGATATTTTACATTAAAATTGTTGTCAAATTTACAAAATAGTTCACATAGTTCTAAAAAATTTCCTTTATTAGAACTTTCTTGTTTTTCATTGTGTCCTCTTAAAGCTAGTCCCTGTCTAGCCAAGTATAAAATAATATCAATAATCTTTTGTATATACATCTGATTATTTAAAATGTCTGTTTTAAATTGATCAGAAAGTTGAGTATGGACATTTCCATGGATTTTTGATTGTTTGTATTGTGTGTATTTTTCTATGCTACTACAATGGCTTTTACAGTTAGAATGTTTTTCTAATTTATCACTTAATTTTTTCCAATTATTAAAACCAATTTTTTTAAAAATGTCTTCTGATGTATTTAAATTATCAAAATGTCTACATACAAAACAAAATAAGGAATCTTGATGTACACTATATTCAATCCAGAAGTATTTTTCATAGTATTTACTAGAAAATGAACGATTCTGTTTTCCTATTTTTTTTAATGGATATGACAAAATTGGTTGTTTTGGGCCTGACTCTAAACTTCCTAAATCTATTACTGGATTACTATTTTCATTTTTAGATTTATTTAAACATAAAGAATTGTTACCGTCATTGTTTTCTGGATTTTCTATTGGTTCAGTCGGTTCAGACGGTTCAGTTTCAATATTTGTTGAAATATTTTTTGTAGAACTACTGAAAAATGTTCTGATATCGAGGCGTTTCATATTTATTCCCAATGAAATAATATTACGTTTGCACTTTGCACGTACCTATTTGTACTATTTTGTAGGTTATTTATTACTTTATTACTCAATATTCAAGTATCAGTGTATCACGCACGCACAAACACTGAATTGTCACTGATGTTAAAATTAAATAATAATATTATTATGTAAACAATCATGATCAATTATATAGACAATTTACTATCTACAATATTCAAGATTGATAACAATATTCAATAATAATAATTGTTTAAACGTAAATATTATAAACTATAAATAGCCATGCAATACCACAGCCGCGCAGCACTTCCAACAACGAAAGCAGTGCGTGCGTGCGTGTATGATTGGCGCACACCAGTGTTGCCGAACTAGCCATTTTATAGCTAGACCTAGCATTTTTTAATAGCGGTCTAGCTATCAAATTCTTCATCTAGCAGGTTTTCAACTTATATTTGTTATTTTTTTTTGGCAACACTGCACACCACAAGGCACAGCGGGACAAGACGACGCTATCACGACGGCACTATCAACTCTTATGTATATACTGATATAAAACTATTAAACTGTAGGTACGTAACTTTGGTATACATTTGGGGGGCTAATCTAAAACTTGGGGGGGCTTAGCTCCCCCAAGCCCCCACCTAGCTCCGCCTATGGCTGACACTTTTTATATTTGTATATACCGGTGTACCTATTTACTTTTATATTTTTTGCAACGAAATTGCAATCTTGTTGGACAACTTTTTTTTTATTGAACTCATTAACAGGCACGTAATGACGAACAAAAAAGCACGTCTTGTATCCTGACTCAGTTACTGAGTGCTGTGATTATGTTTTCCTTAAATGTGTATATATTTTTTTTATAAGGTTTTATATTGCTTATTTATCATTAGATAGTATGTATAAATTAATTTTATTGTCATTAATTTACATTTATAAGTATGGGGAAGAGGGTGAATATAAAATACCACTGGGGTGCAGAAATTCCGACAACGTCTCTGAAAATGTATCTATGTTAAAATCACTCAAGTGGACATTATTTGTATGGATATTGCCATATTGGATATTATATTTACTATTCCGTAACAAAATGGGCTTTTTTCAGTTTGTGATATCTGTAATCATTTTGTCTAGTATTCAACCACATGGAGTGCTCTGTAAGTTTAACACTTTAATGTGACCTTCTTTTATATCAATTATAAATTTGATATAACGCTACGTAAAATATGTCATTTATTAATTGTTTTCATTATTCCACCTAAACGTATCGAAAAATATTGTGGGAATATACCTAATAGTTGAATACAAGATTAATCGTGCGCTACAATTAAAACCTGAAAATCGTATATCAATATTAATTTACGTGAATATTAGCATTATAAAGTATGAGTTACGATGAATTGTTTACATTATGATAATAACCATCACAGTCTACTCTGATGTTCCTTATAGTTTAATAATTTAATTATTGTAGCTTTGACCTTTGCTTATACCTATTAAGAATATACTGAATATTGACATTTTAATGGTTGAGTAGATAATATATTCATTATTTACTAGGTACTATAATATTATTCAATAAATGTTTTACATCTTTAATGTTTTTTTTAATACATTTTGTAGATTGATTCAAATTTATAATAGTATTACGTAATAACGTATTCGGCATGAGGTACTATTCTGCACAGTTTTTAACGATATGAATTTTTTAACCGGCGATTATTGGTGTTTTAAAATATAAATTAACCAGGTAAAATAGGACATAGACAGTAGACACTGTACAATAAAATTCATTACATTTATTATAATACAATTATTAATAAGTATTTTTGTTAAACGTTCCATTAAAAATAATATATGGCAAACCATATTACACACAACGGTGGTACTTACAGAATACAGATATAAGTTTTTAAGTTTCTAGAAGATGATCAGTATTGATCACATATTGTTTAGTACTTCAACTTCAAGAATTCAATAATTATTTGCTTCTACGTAATTTGTACTATCGACGCTCTACCTACTTGATTTGATCTAAAAGCCAAGACCAACCCATATTATATTAAATTTAATAATGAAATAATATCACATTATTAAATTTTCTACTACACTTTTAAAGTTGGCAGACTCGTCCTAACTGTATTAGTTATTTTATATGTTACCCAAAAATCCAACAAATACTCATAAAATATCATTTTGTATGTTTTTATTAATACAAGATAGGTACTTAGAATTTGTTCATGGAAACAATAAGCAAATTTGATTGATGATGACTGCTGTATAAATGTACAATACTACAATGCTATAATATATTTGTTATTATATTACCATAAAGCTTTCAATAAAATAGAATGCTCTTAGAAATTGTTCAGGTGCAACTTACATTTCTCTGTTTTAAAAACTTTTAACTCCTCCCAAAATAGAAAAGTAAACTATAAAACCATTTATGATACAAATCTGCATCGAGAAAAAATATTTAGGGCCGTTCTTACGATGTCCGGTTAAAGTTAACCGACACTTAACCGGACATTGTAAGAACGGCCCTTAGAGTGTTTATAATTTAAATAAATTATATCTACTTAAATACATATTTGTTCATTCCAGAAAATATTAATTTTGAACATTTAAGTATGTGCATAGTTATTTATTAATTATAATTTATAACTAATTATAAAATATTTATAACAAAGATCAAGAACACGATGTAAGTTAAGACAAATTAAGTTAATGAGTAGTTACAATGTTACATGTATACTAATATAAAATATGTATGTACAATGTACATAATGCGGTTTTGTGTTAATGTAGCTTTTTTTTTTCCAAGTGAAACCACTACATGAGGGCCGTACTGTAAACTGTTTTCACATTGCTTGGCCCCCATGCAGCATCGTTTATTAATAAAAATTTTTACTACTTTAAACCTGCGCTCGCACGGGGGAATGATACACCTTCCTCAGCGATGCTGGTGAAGTGTATTTATGTACCTATAATGGCTAATGAATTCACATAACTTATAAGTAGGTAGTAGAACTTTGTATTGTGGTGTATTGGTATCTGTGGGTATATTATATTATTATATTCTGTCACTGGGAAATACCATTAAGTGAATTTGTAATAACAAAACTAAGTGAAACTATTAATATTTCAACCTTTATATATTATTACCATAATATTACAAAATAACCAAACCCAAAATTAATGAACTGCCTTGGGATCTTACATAAATATATTTACGATATTTAAACTACAAAAACAAAAGTAAAATGCATACCTATACTACATACTATTATGTAGTAAGTATGGTAGTAATAATAATGTACTCTTGGAAGTAGTACCTGTTTAAATGTTTATAATTCCTATAATTTAAAAGAAATAATAATAATAAATAATATATTACTTAATTTGAATGCACAATATAACTAGTGGATAATATGTAAAATTGCTTTAAATTTGTTTCTCAAGACACACACATAATAACAGCTCATTATAACGAATTACATTAGCCACAGTAATAATGGATAAATTATTCTATTCGAGAATTAAATTAACTTTCAATTCCATTCTTAGAATGTTGTTAAAAAAAACAAGTCATTTTATTCGATAAAATATTAAAATGTAATTATAAATTAAAATAGTAATAATATCATGGAATCTTAACATGGAAACTCACAAATAGATAGTTTTTAATGTATTTAATTATATGTATTAAACTTTGATCGCAATATAATAATTATTTCGGGGGACGTAGTGGCCAAGCGGACTAAGGCGTCGGTTGCGACGAGCACCGACGCCGGTTCAAAACCTCGACCGCGGGAGGCATTTTTCTTCGGGCAAGTCACGGGGTCCGGAGATAAGTGCCGCTATCCCCCCCCCCCCCGGGCATGGCAGACACCTACGGGTGCCCACTAAAAAATCTGTCAAACTTTGTAAACGTGTTCAAACCTACAATATCCTCCCCCCACACAGTTAAAAACCACCCAATGGCCTTAGTTGCCGCGGGTTAATTAATAAAAAAAAATTATTGTTTCTGTATAGATATAGCTAATATTTCATTATTATTATTTTCCTGTGAATATAAATTTTTCGTGACAAGGTCATCTAAACTTAATGTCATTAAGATACCTACTATTTTTAAAATATTTCTTACTATAATAACAATAATTAGATAGAACTGTTTTATTAAACATATAGGTAGGTATATATTTTGTCATTATTATTATTATTATTATCACCTAAGATGTAATAACAGATCGGGGGTGTCCTAGTTTGAGCCAACCGGAAAACGGAGTGTAAGCTTGTCGCTTAGATGACAATAATATGCACTAAACTGCTCGCATGATATAGTTGGTCGAAAAATTGATTGATAGATTTTTTGATTGTATGTTTTCATTGTAGATATAGTTTGAAGTCTGTGTGAAGGGCTTCGTTTCCTGTGCCCGGTGGGTTGGCTAACTAAAACTAAAATTTACACACTAATGTGTGCTGAGGTCAAGTACCAGTCCATAGGCGCAATTTCAGTTTTTATCTTGGAGGGGCTTAACATATTTAAATGAAACAGACCCGTGGTGGGCTTTGCCCCCCCCCCCCCCATTCAAGTACCAATATGGCAATTTCATTTTTTTTTCACCCACTTTCCCACATTTAATATATTATAAATTATAATGCATCTATTAATAAAGCTAAAAATATTTGTACGAAAAAATAACAACATTTAGGTAAATAAATGTAATATATATTTATTTATTAAGTATATTATTATAATTGTAACCTTCGGTTAGAAATTGCAAATGTATCTAATATTTTTTCGTTGGACAATTCATTTGATAAATCTCGTTCTATATAAATTAATGACAAATTTGTAAATCTATCTTGATTCCAGGGGCGGATCTGAAGCTTGGTTAAAGGGGGGGCGAATTTCGAATAGGAATATCCATGAGTAATATACAAGTACGATGAGTATGGTCAAACCTGGTGGGTGGAGGGGGTCATCACCCCCAGAAATCCGTATATCAATCCGGATCAAATTGTATAATCCGTATACTATAAAATTATCAGTATACATTTTTTCAACCCCTCCCCCCACCAAGAAAAAGCATTTCCTGCTGTTGCCCCGGCAATGAAGACTTGACCGTAGTTCAAGTAATTTATGGAAAAAGAAGTACAACACTTAAAATTAATTGTAGGTACCTTTATTTGTTTTAAATAGCTATAACAATATATTGTTCAAAAATAGGTATAATTATAATAATAATTGTACGTTTCTTTTTTTTTCATTTGCAAATCTATTAATTACTTCTTCTATGTTTACAATAATATCTTTATGCGTGTGCAATAAAGCCAAGCCAGTCAGCCTATGTTCGCCCATTCGCGATCTCAACCATGTTTTTAATCTACAAATTAAAAACAATAAGAAATAAGCAAACATGCAAAGCATTTCGGAATTTAGATGCAGATATTTTCATCTTAAATTAAAAAGCAAAATTTTATTTTTATCATTAGTTATCTGACCTGCGCAAAGTGGATTATCATGAAACGTTGTTATCATTGTTATCATGAAACATAAAGAGAAAAAAAAAATAATAATTAATAATTATTAATTTATAAAAATGTATTGTGTAATGTGTAAATCTATAAATCGAAAATATTAAATAAATCTGTAATAAAAAAAAAGCCCAAGGGGGGGTGATCGCCACGTCGCCCCCCCCCATAGATCCGCCACTGCTTGATTCATAGATGTTCGAAGCCAATTTTTAATCTTTCTCATTGCTGAGAATGATCTTTCACATGTTGCAGAGCTAATTGGAATTGTTAAAGATAATGATAACAGTTTATATAAATTAGGATAAAGCTCTGCATCCATGATTAATTTGATATCTTCCAAAGTGAAATTGGGGTTTCTACGAGACACACAGTTTTTTACCACAAGCATTTCTGATTGAAGGGTCAGGGGCGCCGAAGTATAAAAATATATGTAGGGCAAATCATAATTGACAACCCACCCACCCACCCATCCACCTTACCTAAATACCTATTTAAGTTAATTATCTTAATTGCTTTCAATAAGGCAGTTATAATATATTAATATATATATATATATCCTTAATAAGTTCATAAAACTGTGTTATACGTATAACAAGCAAAAATCCAAAATTATGGTACCCACTTTAGAATCATACAAATAAACTATTACTAATAAGAAATATATATAGGTATTTATAAAAAAATTGTGTATTTTTATATTCCTCAATTTACAGTTTTGATTAGTACTATTTATGCAAACATAGATATTATGTTTAAATTCAATATAAAATATGAATATAATTATTATAGATCATTAGTAATAATGGTAATTAAATACAAATGTTTAAATTTTAACTCATTTCTTACATATTTAATATTAAATAATAATAACATAATGTCATAACAGATCAATTTTTAATTATTTAATATTATAAATTCATATTAATTGAATAGAAATAACAAATTATTATAATCAATGGTGTAATGTGTTTACAATAAGAAAAATTGAACATTTGTTCATAAAAAAAATATAACTTTAACATACATTAACAAAGTACATTAATACACTAATGCTTTACATAAGCTGGAACTTTTTCCAGCTAGCGATAAAATTATATTGTCTACTATTGGATTTAAGTCTTTTTCACAACTGATTTTCATCAAGTTTTCTAACCTATCCTGTAGCATGGAAGTTCGAAGTTTAGTTTTGATCAGTTTTAACTTTGAGAATGAACGCTCTACACTACAACTTGAAATTGGAAGAGTGACTGATAATTTTAATGCTACATACAAATTTGGGAAACAACTGGTTAAATTAGCTGTACAAAACATTTGAAAAATTTTTTTAGTACTCCCAATGTTTTTAATTGCTCTTTGATCATTATCATTCGAAGTTTCATTTAAATCATCATACGTATTTAGTTCAAACATAGAAATGTTGTCATCATTATTATCATTTTCATCTTCATCATTACTTGATTTATTATTACTAACATCATGCAAAAACTTTGGTAAATTTAAGTTATTTTCAAATTCATTTAAATTTTTACAAAACTGCATATATTCAGAAATCAAACAATCTCTATTAATTTTTGAATAGACCTCACATAACTCTATAAATGAATCTTTGGGTAGCATTGTTGGATCATTGTGCACTTCTTGTATTCTACGATATGAGAGCAATGCTATGTCTTTTAATGGTCCAATATTTGTTGTTTCAAACCGGTCACTCAATTCATTTAGAGTCATATCTATTACAGCATTGTATGTTTCTACCTCAAACTTTTTAATTGGACAAACAATAGGATCATCTTGCATTAGTTCACCTAAATAATTAATAAAATACAATTAGTTGTTTTATTCACTAAAAATAACTAATATATAATTTAACCTTGAAAATATTTTTATATTTATTTTTTAGTTAATTACATAGCATTGTAAAATTGAAATAAATAATATCATACCTGCTTTAATTGGAACACGCCTAGGTCTAATATTTTTTAATGGTATAAAATCTGTGTCACTCTCATTGATAAAATTATCTGTTAATGTGTGCGCCCTGAACAGGGACGACCCGAAGGACCACTCGGTGATGCCCGAGCACAATTTATTATATTAATGTTGGCCAATGTCCCCACTAACGCCGCATATGTCCCTGGGTAGGCAACTATATGGACTCGCGCCTGACAGTGAGACGGGTAGGCAATTCTACGCACGTCGACAACAAAGGCAGGGAAGGGAGTGACCTAACGAGGAAGGAGGATGATGCAAGTTAGTTATGGGGAGGGTGTCTCTGTGGTCGAGTCGTTTGGTGCAATGACCACAGAGCTCACAACAAAACAGGGTAAGACTTAACCACTAACTTAACCTACTGAAGTCTTGAGAAGGTGATCTGGACGTCCTAGGCGGCCTCTCACACAACAGATATTATGTTGCTGGCGGTCTTACGCTGCGGCACTGTCTTTGACGGAGACGTGGACGACGGTAGTGGAAAGAATTTGGGTAATAAAGTAGGTACTCACGATTAATTTGTTGTTACAGGTTTATTTCTGACGGGTCGCCCAATGCGCCCTCATGAGTATAATTTATTGTAGTAATCCACGTAAGCAACGGGTGCGCACAATGCGATTAAATAAATGACAATATATATAGGTAAACGCTTCAATAGTGGAACAATAGTAGATATACGAATACACAAAAACCGTAAAAGACGGGTGCGCACAATGCGACTTAGTAAAAAACAATATATATATATGCTACAATAGCGGAAAAAAAACTAATATACGTGTGTACACAACAAGAAGTTGATAAAGACAAAAAAAACAATAATAATGATAAAAAGGGCGTTGGCCGCAGAATGTAAACAATAACAAAAAAGATAATACAATAATTCTATGCGGCAACGGGTCAACCGATAGTAGGTACTAGGTGACAACAAACACAAAGAGATTAAATAATAATAACAATAAGAATATTTGACAATTAACGGAATGAGAGGTGTATAAATGGAGAGGGAGCTGATAGGAGCAGGTCATCGTCGCCGTGCGTAATTGCACACCACGACGCGCTAATTGCTTGGCGCGAACAGTTAATTTTATAATTTCCTCAAATGAATTATTTGCTCTCAATTTTCTAATCGAATTAATTGTTTTAGTTACAATACTTGTTGCCAATAAAATATCCATATCATGTGTTTGAAATTGTCTTGTAACTACTTCTAATATGTCGAATAGCTTTTTGAATGTGAAAGCAGTTAATAAAAATCTCCGTGATGTAAAATAATCTATAAGACCACTACAATTGGCACCAACAGTTGCATCAGTAACTCCTTCAAGATTTTTTATTTCTTCCAATGTTTGTAAAACTGCATGATGAAACTTGATAACTACATTCAAAGCTGCTGAATGGGAATTCCAACGTGTTGTACAGACTCGTTTAACAGCATGCTCTTGGGTGTATTTTAAGTCTGAGTGTTTTTTTTGAGCTTCTCTAAATGTTGCTGCTCTTTTTTTTGAACACCATAACAAGACATATAGACTTTCCAAATTTCCAAACAAGTCTCTTGAATTTGAGTCACAGGATACAGCTTGCTTGACTACCAAGGCTAGTTGGTGGGCATGACACCATACATACAAAGCTTGTGGACATTCTCTTTTTATATGTGCTTGTAAGCCTTTGTAATTTCCGCGCATGTTTGAAGCACCATCATAAGACTGCCCAACAAGGCAATCTTTCCAATTAAGTTTTTCTTTTTCCATAATAGCAACAAATAAGCTGTACAAGTCTTTTCCTGTTGTAATAGGTGATTCTTTAATAGCAATGACTCTTTCGTGAATTAACCCAAATGTATCATCAACATATCTAATAACAAATGATACTTGTTCGCGACGTGAAGCATCAAAAGTAGAATCAATAGATATACTAAACATATTGGATTGAACAACTGCTTGTTGAATTTGAGAGGAAATATCATGAGATATTGAATCTATTAACTGATTCTGTCTTTCCCAGGTAACAAAAGAAATTTGACCTTTTTTTTTAGTTTTATACTATTTAAATGGTCAGATAATGGAGCTGAACTTTTAGCTAATAAAATAACCAAGTCTTTGAAATTACCACCAGGCGAACTTACTGACCAGTTATCTCTATGACCTCGAAAAGCCAAATTGTGTCTTGCTAAGTATAAAACAATGTCTATAATTTCATTTATTACTTTAATCAGTCAGCGCACACTGCAGTAGGTACTGTAATAAACGACCATATGAATTTGTATACGTAATCACCAATGAAGTATATTATTTATAGCTTTTATAAATAGCTTATATTTTATGTAATATAAATTAACTGATAAAAATAAACGGGCTATTCACACTACGCATAAATATAAATTATACCTCAGATAGTCAGACCTCAGTCGATAGTCGACAGTATGTACCGTGAAGTATCGAAGTATCCGCGTGTTTTCTGGTTTTATTTATAATCAAACAAATATGACTTTGTGCTCGGTATTTGGTTGTGCGTCGAATAACGATCGTAAACGTAAAACAGTTGATAATGATAATAACTTGCATTTTTACACTTTTCCAAAACGCGATAAATCACCATTACGACATCGAAAATGGGAGCATTTTTGTAAAAGAAAAAATTTTAAGCCTAGTGCTGGGTCGGTTATTTGTTCTAAACATTTTATTCCGCTTGATTTTAATCAATCAGATGTTTTAAAAAAACAACTTATGCCAGAATCCAAGTGCATTGTAAGATTAAATCCCGACGCTGTACCTAGTATTCAAACTGGTATAAGCAATTCAAAAAAATCTGTAAATCCCAGGCAAGAATCACTGCATATTATGAAAAAACGCCAAATAGAAATAATTGATGATTTAATAAAAACTAGTACACCGAAGAAAAAAATGGTAACAAAGTCGTCGTTTTTTGAAGAAATTGACGATGTTTCAACTATTGAGGAGCCAGATGTCAATAATAAAATTCAAAAAACAAGTGAAATAGGAATACAGTGTGAATTGGGAAACGAAAATTTGATCAGAATAATTAATTATGAAAAAAAAAATGACTTATCGTTTGAAATAGAATCGGAATCCGAGGACAGCGAAAACACCAGTGATGATGAGACTTCAGAATCGCAAAACAATTATAATACTTGTAAGTCAAAAAATGTTAAATCATCAATACATTTTAATAAGGATGAGTGTTTTATCGTTTTTTGGGAATGCCTATCAAAGCTTTTTAATAATTGTAATGTGTGTGGGTCAAAAATATTATCATTAAACAATTTTATTCAAGGTTCTTGTCTATGTGTAACTACTGTATGTGAAAAAAATCATACGTTTCAGTGGTACTCACAAAAAAAAATTAAAAAAGAGCAATTGGTAATATATGCATTGGATCGGCACTAATGTTATCAGGTATATTATTTGCGCAAATGGTTGAATTTTGTCAAGTATTGAATCTACGTTTTTTCTCTAGAACATCTTATGACAAAATCATAAAAAAATATATTGGACCTGTGGTTTACAATGTTTGGACTTATCACAAACAAGATAATTTAAATAATTTAAAGACATTACCTAACATCTGGCTTGCTGGTGATGGCCAATACGATTCGCCAGGTTTTTGCGCAAAATATTGCATTTATTCGGTTATGGATTTAAATAGTTCTAAAATAATTGATTTTCAATTAGTCCAAAAAGGGATGGTCACGGGTGACCTCGAAAGAGCCGCATGCGAAATGTTGATACAAAAATTTATTGTAGAATATGATTGTAAGATTCAACTGTTTTTATCTGACCGTCATAGAGGTATTCGATATTTTTTTCGGACCCAACACCCCGAAATAAATCATGAGTTTGACATATGGCACCTGTCAAAAAGTCTAATGAAAAGAATGAAGACATTAGAGAAAAAATATCCCGATGTATATTTATGGAAATCAAGTATTAATAATCACTTATGGTATTCAGCACAGACGTGCGAAGAAAATGCCGATTTATTAGAAGATAAATTTCTTTCTATTTTATATCATATTGCTAATATTCATGAATGGACAGACGAAAACGGTATAACAAAACAATGCGAACATGAAAAACTGACGGACGAACAAGTAAAAAATAAGCTTTGGATACATATGAAAACTAGTTCCTATGATGCTTTAAAAAAAATTCTAACTGCGAAGGACTTCATTAAAGATTTGAGACAAGCAAAACATTTTGTGCACACCGGAAAATTGGAATCCTATCACAACGTGAGGCTCAAGTATATGCCTAAACGTATCCATTTACAGTTCAATGGTATGTTCGTACGATCTATATTAGCAATACTCGACCATAACAATAATACTAAAAAAACATTAATAGGAGAAAAAGTTGTATTTTCTAAACCACTAGGACGATTTACAATAAAAAATTCTTACAATAAGACTCAAAATAACTGGAAACGTGATATAATGTCAACAATTATCGAAGAAGCTGAAAAAGAAATTTCTCCACGGCCGTTTGATGTACAAAAAGAATGTAATACCGACATCCCAAAAAATATTTATCGAACACCTCGCCCACCCTATGAAGAATTAAAATCAAAAAGATATTCAAGATTTACCTAAATAGTAAATATATAATATACCTAACTAGGTAATGATAATTATAATAATTCAATTACGTATAATATATTATGTATTTATTTTTGTTTGAAGTAATATAATTTATTTTGAGGTTTTTTTTACACATTAATTTCAGTTCTTATATTATTAATTATAATAACACATTTGTTAATACATTAAATAACGGATTATAATATTATTAAATATACCTTATATGTAAATTTTATTTTTTTGTCTTTCCTATAAACTACCCTGAAACAAATTTCAACACAATAAAAATAATATGACCATCTAAAGAAGTGTATAACCTTTTTATAAATGTACTTTAATAACTTGTACCTTTAATTAATTTTTCTCTATAATTATTTTAATCGCGCGAAATAAATTCCGCGCGTGTATATTAGATACGACCCGTCGGACGATGTGATTTTATGACGTCACGCGTAAAACGCGACTTATATTTAAACACGGAACCAATTGTCCGACAACAATTTTAAGACCACCAAAATTATTCTTTTTCAAAGCCCTATACATTAAAACAATAAAAAAAAATAGGTTTTTTTAGTTGTATAGTCCTTTAAGATAAAATAACAATTATATATAATAATATATACTTTTATTCTCTTATAATAAAACCATAAAATCTAAAAATATTTTGATATTATACTGGCATACTACCACTTTACGGGTATTCCATGTGATTACGATAACGATATTCCGCGATAATTTTAGATTTTTCGTTACAATTATTGTAGTATTGTACCAACCAATGGCAACCATCATTACATGTGTTGACGTATTTCCTGTTATTTATTCGATATTTTATGAAAAATACCCAGTATTCACTAACTACAAACTGTATAATATGACTTTCAACAGTTTACGCAGTACAAAATAATTCAATTCAACGGCCCTATACGAGTTACGAATAAATAAATACCTAATGTACATCATTACATTTAAGTTGTTAAAATAGCTATATTATCGTTATACGTCCTGTAATATTCTAAACTATTAACTATTCTTATACTATCGTATTAGTTACCCAACTACAATAGGTATTATATTATAGTGTATTATTACGTATAATAATTATTATACTTTACATAGGTACCTATTATATTTCTTATATATCTTTCTAGTTTCTACAGTTAACATCTATCAGGCATCAGCTACTGCCCGCTCGGCAACCACCCACCCACCCATTTCAATATGTAGGGCAGTCGCCCTACATTAATATAGGTCTCGGCGCCCCTGTGAAGGGTATTTACATCCACATTCAATAAGTCCTAAAAATTAAATTATAAAAATTGATCAGCATATTGATATTTAAAAACATTTATACAATATAAAAACTATACTTTGTACTGTTCAATAAAACATTGACTCTCATAATAATTCATTTTATGAAAGTAATCAATAGATGTTGCCTGCAATTCCAAGCTATTTGATGAAAATCTCTTATTAAAATGTATTATTAAAGTGTCTATAATTTGATAATAATGAGTCCTCCAATAACTTTCTGTATATTGATTAAACTCATTTTGATTTTGTTGTTCAGAACTTGTAGTT